CCCGCCCCCGTGGCCTCCAACGGTTTCCCCTCCCTGGCGTCGGCCCCTATTCCCTCCACGCCTGCCGTACAGCTCCCCAAGCAGGTGCTGCTTTCGCACGTCACCGGCGGCGGTCTCCAGGTCGAGTTCCGTTTCCTTCGTCGGCCATCCATTCACGGCAAGGAGTACAGCACGATGGAGGTGTACCTCACCAACCACCTGCCCTCCACCGACATCCACTCCGTCAAGCTCTCTGAATCCGTACGTGCACCCTGCTTCGTCGCCCACCGATCGGTGAACAACAACAACCAACACCAACACAACTGACGCGTCGCATTTATTTGTAACAAACAGTCGATCGAAGCGTCGGGCCTTAAGATCATCCCGTTCAGCGAGGTGTCGGTGCTCCCGGCGGGCGCGTCGTTCCAGACGCACATGAACATCGCCTTCACGTCGGCGTCGCAGACGGTCAAGCTAGAGGTGGTCACCGATCGGGGCACCTACTCCGTCTCTGTCAAGCCCCAGCTGGGCGAGCTTCTCCGCCCCATCACCCTTAGCGAGGCCGACTTTGACTCGCGCCAGAGTACGCAGCTCGCCAGCCACCCAGTCGACCTCGCCACCTAGGTGGCGTGATGCTAAACTTTTTCTCTCTGTGTGTGTGCGCGCGTGTGTGTCCGTCTTGCAGAGGAGCTCGGAGGGATGCAGGAGTCGTCGGAACACCTGACGCTGCCACAGGAACTGGCCAGCGGTGGTACCAAGCTGGTCAACAAGGTCCTCGAGCTCATCAACGTCGGGCCTTGCGTCGTCGACGTCAAGGTTAGTCCCCTCTCCCTCGCGCTTTCCGACCACCACACACCTTCTGTCTCTCCCCCTCCCTCCCTCCCTCCCCTTCGCTCTTCGCTCTTTTTTGTGCTGATGTTGTTTTGCGTTTCGTACGGATGCAGGAGGGAACGTACAAGTTTGTGGGCGTGGCCATTTTTGACGAGAAGCCGCTGTTGATCTCTTTGCGGGCGGAAGGCGAGGGAGGTTCGTGCCTGCTGAGGGTCAACTGCGAGGACCCCATCTTTGCCGTCACCGCCAAGAACCTCCTCAAGACCGGCCTCGCTCAGTAAACCTCGACCACTGGCTCCTCCTCATCCCTCCTCCTCCTTTCGTTGTTCTCTCTTCCTTAAAATAAACAATCCTGCAAACACCGACCTCCTCCTTCTTCTTCCTCTACATGTTTAGAAGTCGATCAACATGGAGGCCATTACATCAGCACACGCGCAAAACATTTTGTAAAATAAAACTGAAGTGGTGCACTACATCGCCATAGCGCGACGACTACTGGGTGGAGAGCTCAACGGCGAAGGCCAGGGCGACCTTGGCGAACTCGCGGGCGTGCTCGGGGGAGATCTTGTCCAGGGTGTCGGCCGGGGAGTGGATCGAGGGGTTGTCCTGGTTGAAGGCCGTCTCGAACGGGAAGGTGGACGGGTAGCCCGCCTTGGTCCAGCTCGCATGGTCGCTGCACAAGTGGTTGTTGTGTGGCCACCAACCGCATGTGGTTTGTAGGTTGGAAAAAAAAACCCAAAAAAAAAAACCCACGAGGGTGTGTTGGGCGGTGCCGGGGTACCTGCAGGCGTAGCCGCATCGGGTGTCCACGACGGGGAGGCTGGAATACTCCTTGGCCAGGTCGCGCACGAACTGGGTGAGCGGCGCGCTGACATAGTCCGTCACGATGGCGTACACGGGATTGCCCTTGGCCACGTAGCCGACCATGTCTGATGTGATACACACGACACACATGCACACACACACACACACACAACCCAGTGCCATCCGCTGGTTAACGCTGCGACTCGATGAGCAAAACTAGACCAGGAGGAGGAGGCACCGAGTTGCATCATGCCGGCCACGACCTTGCCCTCTTTCTGGTAGGTGCTCGCAATGGCCTGCGAGCCGCGCAAGCCCACCTCCTCCGCAGCGTAGGCGTGGAACTCGATCGAGCGGCTGCCCCTGAACCCGTTCTTGGCCAGCACGCGGAACACCTCGAGCACCGACGACGAGCCCGACGCTGCATGCGTGTGTGCGTGCGTGCGTGCGCATCGCCGTCAGACTTTGCGGCACATCATTCGCTCGGGCGCGGAGTCAACGCACCATCATCGTCAGCGCCGGGTGCCCTGCCGGTCGACGAATAGCCCACGGAATCCTCGTGGCCGCCGATGATGACCAGTTCGTCGGCATTCTCGCCTTTGTGTCGCGTGTGGGGGGGCAGTCATATAGAGAGGGGGATGGTCAGAGGTGACCACACACAGCAGGCCCGAGGGGAGGGGGACATAGAGGAGGCCCGCCGTACCGGTGCCTTCGATCCGGGCGATGACGGAGGGCTGCGCCCAGGTGTGGTCGAAGAAGCGCACCGAGACGTGCGACTGGTTGCGGCCGAACTCGCTGTACCAGCTGTGCAGCAGCTTCGCGCCTACGCAGCGGAGGAATGAGATGAGAGAAGAGAAGACGAGTGAAAGGCTGTGTGTGTGGCCTGGAGAGAGAGAGGGCACCCTCGACGCCGGTGGTGGAGGTGTAGTAGCGCGTGTAGAGCTGCGACAGGTTGGTGATGGTCTTGGCAATCTCCTCGGCCGACAGCTCCTTCAGCAGCGCGTCGATGTCCTCCTAATTTGAAATTTAATATAACATAATAAAATAAATGAGCCTACTTACTTGTTTATTGCTTATTATTAATTATTATTTAAAACAAATAAAAGTAATAAAGTAATAAAAGTAATAAAATAGAAAATAGAAAAGGCGAAGGAGGAAGGAGGGTAAGGAGCGAGGTACGGGATGACGCGGGGTGAGGGTGGCGGGGAGGGTGGAGGAGGCGAGGCCGTCCACGGGGCCGAGGTCGGGGTGGTCGGTGACGTCCATGAAGTGGATCTTGTCGTTGATGAGCCGTTGGATCTGCTCCTCGGTGCGCCAAACCCGCACGCCCTCATCGAGCTCAATCCAGCGACGGGGCTCTTCGGCCGAAACCGAACCCAGGAACAACAGGGCAGCGGCCACCACCCCCAGTACCAGCGCCCACATCGACCTCTTCATCTTCGCTCTTGTGTTTTTTTTGTTTGTTTTTGGTGTCAGTTGGGTGATAGTGTGGCACAACCAATCACGGAGTAGGATCCAAATAAAATAATATATTATCGGACATCACTCCTGCTCATCTCCACACTGACACTGAAGAAGTAAGTCCTCGATGAACGGTAAGGTGTTTGTTACTTTGGTGGTGGTGCTGGCTGCGCTCGCGGTCTCGGTGACGGCGGTCAAGGACCTCGACTTTGCGCTCGAGTACCGCGGCAAGTGCGACTACTCGGCCGACAAGAACAGCGCCAACTGCCACCTCAAGGCCCAGTCCCAGGAGGTCCTCACTCGCATCAAGTACACGCCCACCCCCCTCCGCCGCCTTTGGCCGTTCAGCGGATCTGTACCCCCCCCAATCTAGGCTAATCGGATCTTGATCGTTTCAAATTGCGATGTCCCATCAAGGGGTGACGGTAATGTGGCGACGAGCGTGAAGAAGCTGATCGGCAGCGTCTCGAACCTGGACTTCTTCACCAGCTACAACTTCACCTCCTACACCTGGACCTCCAAGGGCTCTCTTGTACGCCTCCCCCCCCCGCTTTTCGTTCTTTGTTCCGCTCCCCCGCAATTTTTTTGGGTAAAGGCGCCAAGTGACGTTTTGAGTTTGTGTGCGTGCGTGCGTGCGACAGACGTTCGGTGTGCACACGACGCAGAAGAACCACAAGCTCGAGTTCGAGGACTCGAGCATCGGCCGGATCAACCCGACCCCCACCCACGCCTACGGTTTCGCCACCTCGTGGAAGGTGACCAAGGGCTTCGGCGCTCTCGACCAGGGTGAGTGCAACAATCTAGTGTCGTGGCCGGAGCAAGCACTGACTGACTGACGCACCCGACACACACGCACGACACGCACTCAACAACGCGACACACACGCGCACACGCACAGCCGTGGGCCTCATCACCGCGAACGGCGTGTTCGACTTTGAGACCAGCGAGGTTGTCGTCGGCGTCATCGGTATGCGTGCAAAAAAGAAATCCCATGCATGTTCTCATTACTGATCGCTCTGCCTTTCTCTTTCACCACCCCCACCCCCCTAGGCGTCATCTACTACAAGGGCAACAGCAACAGCACCATCATCGCCAACTAAGCGCTCCCACTGTGGGTGTTGTCCGTCACCACCAGAATCAGAAATGCATCTTTCGTTCTCTTTACATTACACCCCCCGCGTTTCTGCGGATTAGAAGTCCTCGGAGAGCTCGTCCTCCTCGAGCACCACACGCCTCTTCTTCTTGGGCGTCTCCCGGGTCACCTCTACCACTTCCTGCTCCCCTTCGTCGTCTCCCTCGCCGTCGTCGTTGTCTTCGCCCATGTCGTCCAGCACCACCCCAGCGCTGAGGTCCAGCTTCTCCGCCTCGGCCTCGGCCTCCTCTGCTTCGTCCTCCGCATCGCGGGGCGTGCTCGTGGTGTTGCCGTTCTTCTCGTCGTCGAACCTCTCCCTGTCCTGACGCGCCATCTCCTCATATTTCTGTGCGTGTGCGGTGTGCGGTGAGTGCGTGTCGTGCGGTTTGCGAATTGGGGTGAGGGATTGTGTGTGAACCTGTTTGTCTTCGGGGGAGAGGGCCTTCCAGGCCTCGGCGAGCTTCTTGGTGACGTCGCCAAACTTGAGCTCCGGGTTCTGGGCCTTCACCTCGGCCCGCTTGTCCGACGTGAAGTAGATGTAGGCCGACCGCGCCCTCTTCGGACCCTTCTCCTCCCCCCTCACCTTCTTCTTGTTGCTCTCCTTCGTCTTCCTAATCTTTTGCTTCTTCTTTTGATTGGTGCCGATCTCCCCTTCGTCATCGTTGGCCTTCGCCTCCTTGTCCGACTTCCTCTTCCTCTTCGGCGTCGAAGTCGTCTTCTTCGCCGAAGGCTGCTGCTGCTCGTCAGCCGACACCACATCGCGATCATCGGCGCTGCTCGTCGCCTCAACGTTGAGCTCGCGGGCCGCAGGCGGCTTGCAGTTGGGGTTCAGGGCCAGGCCCGGCATGGCCGCGCTGATGCTGCGCTGCCACTGGGGCGTCGCGCACTTCTGGGCGTGGTTGCTTGGGCCGTAGCCGCGCTTGGCCGGGGAGGCGCTACCGCCGCCGGCAGCGCGGGCCAGGACCTTTGGGCCGCTGGCGCGCGAGGCGGAGCCGGACGATGAGCTCTTCTTCTGTGGCGCACCAGCCCCCGACGAACGCGACGCACGAGTACGAGCCATCTTTTGTTGTTGTGTTGTTGTCGAGGATCTAAGTGGGTGTCTTACTACAAGTGCTGATACTTGTATGAATGGATTGACGGAAGATGGACGAAGATGAAAGCACAAAACGAAAACGTTGTTTGTAACTGCTCCACCAACGGTCATGGCAAAATGGCGCCAAAACACGAAATTTCGGATACCCGACGGAAAAATTACATAATTTTTGAGCTGTGGCCTCCGTGCGGCATCAGGCGTCGCTCACGGTGGCCGGCCTCCTCTCGAAGAGCACCATCAAGCCACTGCACCAGCGAAGGGAAAAGGGAAATGAGATGCGGGGCGGGGTGGGGCGAGGAATGGAGTGATGAAGTATTGACGACGCATACCGGGGCTTGAGAGTGATCTCGAGAGCGCCCTCGACCTTGGCGTCCGGGGTCAGGCGGAACGTGTAGTTCCTGAGCAGGCCCGCCAGCACGATCTGCAGCTCCAGCTCCGCCATCGCCTTACCGAGACCTGCACAGAACCACCACGCAATGAGGTGTGTGTCGTGTCGTGTCCTGTCGCGTCGTGTGTGTGTGTGTGCGAGCGCGCGCGCGCGCGCGTGTGTGTCGTGCGTGTGTTGACGTACAGTTGCGTGGGCCGGCGCTGAAGGGCATGTACTTGGGGTCGCTGGAGGAGATGTCGAGGAAGCGCTCGGGCTTGAAGGCCATGGGGTCCTCCCACAGCTTGGCGTCGGTGAAGAGCGGGTAGAAGGGCACCCACACCGACGTGCCCTTGGGCACCGCGAAGCCGCAGATCTCCGCGTCGGCATTGAGGTCGCGCGCCGAGCCCATCGGCGACACCGGCGTGAGGCGCATGCTCTCCTTCATGATCAGGTCCAGCTGCTTCATCTTCTTCAGGTCCTCGTGCGTCGGGAAGCTTCGGCCCTCCATCACCTCGTCGACCTCCGTGCGGCACCGCTCGGTGACGTCGGGGTTCTGCAGCATGTGGTACAGCGTCCAGGCCAGCGCTGCGACAAGCACCGGTCAGCCCACATGCGCGACCACAACGCACGGAGCACGCATGGAAGTGGTGGCTTTAGGGGGAGAGGGGTACTGTGCGCCGAGGTCTCGTGGCCGGCGGCGATGAAGGCGCCCAGCTCGCGGGCGATTTGTTCGTCGGGCATCTTCTCGCCGGTCTCCGAGTCGACGCTGGTGAGGAGGATGGTGAGGAGGTCGTTGATCTCCTCCCAGTTCTCCATCGCCCGCCGCTTCTCGATCGCCTTCCACCCATAGCTGTGCACAATGTGCCTACAATGATTGGTGCCGTTCGCGCGTACGGTCATCGAGCGTCAGCGTGACAAGTTCGGAGTTAAAAACGGGCGCGTGGCTGAGTGCGTGCGGTGGTACGTGCGTGCGTGTGCGGGGTGTGTGCGTGTGTGTGGTACATGTTCTCAACGAGGCGCTGGGTGCCCTTGGTGTAGTAGTTGCGGAGCGGGTTGGAGATGCGCTTCTGGATCTCGAGGAGGCCCTCGGCGAGGGCGGCCTGCACGGCCACCTCCCTGCCGGACAGGGCGTCGAACGACTCACCGTAGATTGTCCGCCCAATCACGTCCTGCACAAAGCAAAGCAATACGTGTAAGAGAGAGTGTGCGTGTGCGTGCGTGTGCGTGTGCGTGTGCGTGTGTGTGTCGTGTGTGTGGTGCGCTAGAAGGTGGAGCGCACGAGAGTGAGGCGGCAGAAGAGGTCGTCGGCGTCGAACGGAGTGCCCTTGGGCTTGGCGTCGAGGGCGTTGAAGAGATTTTGGGTCTCCTCGACCATGATCCCGTGCAGTGCCCGCACCGAGCTGCCGGAGAAGACCGGGCTCGTGATGCGCCTCTGATGCGAGCGCAACCCGAAAAGTCAGTATTGAGCGAGGCACCCGTCACGGGCGTGGGGTTGGTGCGCGCACCTGCTTTCGCCACCAGTCGCCCTCGCCCAGGAAGAGCACGGGAGCGTGGAAGCGCTTGAACGGATCGTAGAAGGAGCCCTTCCTGATGTAGAAAAGAGACGTGATGAGTCGACGCGAGCGGGACAGAGAAGAGAAGAGAGGGAGAGCTCGAACGACGAGTGTCGAGGGGTGGAGGGGTTCTACGTACACTTCGGACTTCATGGCGATCTTGGCGGCGGGCGGGTCGGTCACGACCAGCATGCGCACCCCTCCGTCCGGGTTCCTGGGCAGGCACGAGGCCCAAGAAAAGAGTCAGCCAGGGTCCTTCGGACCTTTTCCCCAGGGCTTATTAATAACGAATAAAAAAAAACAAAAATTATTGAATCGTTAAATAAATGATATAAAATGATAAATTAATACAAAGTAAAAGCAATAAATGCGGTGGTGGGTACTTGATCTGGAAAATAGGTCCGTGGTGGTTGGCGAATTCGGCGAGGAGGAGGTGGGTGTCCTTGGAGAAGGCCAGCCGGAGGCCCTGCGTCAGCGTCAAGGCCGGAATGTTGGCTGCCCACTCGTACCCCTTGGCCGCCTGACATTACCCCCCCCCCAAATAAACAACCACAAAGTACTTTGCGATTAGCTGGCCGGGCAGCAGCCCCAGACTTGGCTGTGTGAGCAGTCGACTACTACGTGCCTTGGGCTTGAGGAGGTAGTAGGCCAGGAGGACGGCAGCCACGGCTGTGAGTATAGCCACGCCCCACATCTTTGCGTGCGTGTGTTTTGAAGAAGAGACGAGACGAGATGAACCCTTGCGGACACGAACAGCTAGCCGCACCGGAGCTGGTGTGGTGTGCAACACAGCTGTGTTGCAGAGCTCCCAGAGAAGGTATTTTGAGGGGTTTGATTATATTATTGGTTGCCATTTACAAAATGCAGACAGGGGATTGGGTGTAAATATGGAAAAAACGGTGATAATTCAGGTGGCGGCCAATCATGGCACGCGTCGCTTGGCCAAGGAGCCATGGTGGTGCGGTCCCTTTAGACCGGGGTGAGGGTGAACGAAGGGTGGGTGACATAGACGTCCAGGGAGAAGCGGCCCAGCGCACCCGGCTCGTGCGTGCACACGATGATGCCGTACTCCACGCCCTTGTGCAGCTTGTACTTGGCGCTCGCTGGACAAGGAAGACGACAACCACAGTTGAGGAAGCGAGTGGTGAAGGCGATGGTGAAGATGGGATTACCTTCGGTGCCCTTGACGAAGGTGACCTCCTTGGAGAGGAAACGCTTGTCCCGGCGGGTGATGAGGTAGAACCCGATGGTGTTGGCCGCGGGCAGGGGCTGGGAGACGACCACGACCACCTCCACTCCGTGCTTCACCGCGCCGCCGGTGGACTGCATCTTCCACCCGCCGATGGCCGTGCCCGGCATGGGGGACGTCAGGCGGAACTGCGGGTTCGTGTGGAATGTCGGATGGCCCGAGCAGCCGCCCGCATTCCTGGCCGTCCATTGGCCCTGCAGCCCATATAGATGGCGAGAATGTGAGTGTCGTGTGCGTGTGCGGTGGTGAATGAGCGTGTGGGACGTGTGCCGTGTGTCGTACCGGAGCGAAAAGCTTGGTATAGTTGTAGGAGGAAGTGGTGGATTCGATGTGTTCGTTGGCGTAGAGGTTGAGCGCGAATTTGGTCTCGATGAACGGGTTGAAGGTGCACGGCAGGATGGTGTAGATGCCCGGCTCCTTCAGCGTCACCAGCTCACCGACTGAGCGCCACCACAATGACCACCCGATGAGTGTGTGCGTCACCAATTTTGCAGGCCGTGTTTGCTGTGATGTGCGCGTACCTTCCACATCATCAACAAAGTCGCTCTTGTGGAGCAGATTGCTTGGGTCGATGGTCATCACCGCTCCCCCGTCTGTAGGTATGCATCATCATCATTGATTGGGTGCCGTGATTGCGCTACCATCGCCCAAAGTCGTAGAAGCACCGCACCTTCGTTTTTAAGGAGGTAGTAGCCGATGTGGGGCATGTCCTCCTCGGTCTCGGGCTGAGAAAGCAGCGCGTAGAGCTTGACCGGCGCCTGCCGCACCTTGAAGTGGTACTGGGGGTTGTTGCGCCAGGAGGGGTGGTTCTTGCAGCCGCCGCCGCGCCCGTCGCGCCAGTCGCCCTCCATCGAGAGGTGGTAGTGTTCCGCCGGCGAGAGCGCGATAGCCGTCAGGTCGTCGTCGCTGGTGACGCTCACCGTGAAGTCCTGGGCAGAGGGGGAGGGGGCAAGCGCCAGTGAGTCCGAGGAGCAGATGGGGCGGCGGTGGTTGGTGCCGACGTACGTTCTCCATCTCGGGGTCAAAGGTCGCCGGGATGAGCACGTAGGGCAGGGGCGAGGCCTTGACCGTGATGGTCATGGACACTGAGCGCCGCGGTGCCGTGAGCGACCAGGCGCGTGCACGGGAAGTGGATGGGGATACCTGAAGCACGGTCTGTGAACGGGGTCGACTCGATCAGGTTCTCCTGGTCGAGGTGGCACAGCATGAACGAGTCCTCTGTGTGGCGCACCGGCCAATCAGCCACCAAGTTGCGTTTAATTGTAAAGAAATGGCAACGTTTGGTGAGGGCCACGGTGGGATGGCGCGGGTACCGGAGCTCTGGCCCAGGTAGAGTCCGATGGGCAGCAGGGCGGTGGTGTCGATTTGGGCCAGGGTGATGGTGAGGACGCGCGTTTGCTTGACGTGGAGCAGGTACTGCGGGTTGTTCCTCCACGTGGGATAGTTGACGCATCCGCCGGCACTCTCGCCCTTCCACCGGCCATGCACTTCGTACACACCAACCCGTGCATGCAACAATGGGTGCTCCGCTGAGCCGACCATTCATACCACATACACAACACAGGCCACACACACCACCGCACACGTGAACAGGGGAAATGGTGATGGGGAGTTATACCCTCAAGGCCTCGATTCGCATCGTCCTCGTACTGCTGGGAGGAGTGAATGGCCGGTGCCGCGGTGCTGTGTGAAGTCTCCGGCAATGAGTCATGGAACTGCATGGGAAGATGGTGTGGAGTATTCATCCTGGGGGGGAGAGGTTTACCTGGCATCGCACAGCGTAAGTATCGGCTGCGCCTGACTTTGCGCTTCGAGCGAGAAGCGGCCCTCCTCACCCACGTTGGTCGTGCTGGGGATGACGTAGTAGACCTTCCCTTGCTCCACTGGGAACGACACCGAAACTATGCGCCGTTGTACGGAGTGAGAGCCAGTGAGGGAAGGGGCCAAACGGGGGCACACAAGCCAGGCCCGAACAATCATGTGTTGCGTACCGGTGGCGCGGTTGGCCTCGCTGCGAACGACGAAGGAGTTGTGGTGGAACCCGGGCATGCGTCTGGATGTCCCGGTCGCCTTCTGGTCCACGGCCATGACGGAGAGCACTACGAACAGCTTCCGGTTGTCTGTTTGCGCATTGCACGGCACGCGAGCTCGTCAGATCAAAAAGGTGCTGCAACAAACCCTTTGAGTTGTGACAGTGGCTGTGGCGTCTTTACCGGTGCTGAGGGTGAGGTTGGCCTTCTCGACCGGATCGGCAAAGCAAAGGGTGTACTGCGGGTTGTTGCTCCACGTCGGGCCGCTGCCCGCAGCTCCCTTGCCCTTCCACTCGCCCTGCGATCAGAGTGGAATGAGTGAGCAAAAAGTACCGTAATGAAGTACGAGAGTGTCAACGGAGCGCCCAGGACGCACCTCGAGCAGATGCTTCTTCAAGTCGACCTTCGCGATGGGGCCGAACTCAACCCCAGCGTCTTGCTGGGCGTACACTGCGCAACGGCCCGAGTTAGCGTGACCACATGGAACGGGCATGGGAGGAGTGAGGGAGGCAAGGGGCCTTACCGACAAGGGTAAATCGGTCGCGGATGCCGGGGCGGAAGGTGCAGGGGACTAGGAGGTAGTTGCCCGGCTTCAGGGTCATGGTGAGCGCAACTGGAGTAGCGCAATAGAGGAAAATGACTAAGTTGAGTTTACGCTCTGGACGTCGTCAACGGGTCCAATCGCGAATGTGGTGGAAGCGCGCACCCTCCTGCGAGTTGACAAAATCGCTCTTGGTGGTGATGTGCTTGCTGTTGATGAGTGAGTTACGCGCGGTGCCTGCGCGGAAGCGAGATGGAGAGTTAGTAAGGGACTGTGCCGCGCCGAGGGCGAGAGTGTGGTTGTAAAGCGTGTACCGTTGGTACTGCGCAGGATGTAGAAGCCGTGGTGAGGGAACTCGCCCTTGCGATCATCGACGGCCTGAGATTGTGTGAGTAGTGACTCAACGAGGTGCTGAGAGGCAATGAGCGGTGTGGGGGCGGGAGTGACCGCGAACCTGGAGGATGGTGAGTCGAGTGGTCTGCGGCACGGTGAGGAAGAACTGGGGATTGTTCTTCCAGGAACCGTTGTTGGCACATCCTCCGCAGCTTTCAGCGGTCCATTCGCTCTAAGAGACGGATTGGCGCCCACAGCACATTGCCGATCAAAGAATGGTCAGACCGCGCTCACGGGTATCGGCCCTCTGGTGCTTGCGTGCGTGTGCGTGCGCGTGTGCGAAGAGCGAGGTGGGGAGTCACACCTTGGCGCTGAGAACCACGGGCACCTCGGTGATTTGCTCGAAGACAATCTGCTTCTCGCTGTAGACCACCACGTTGTACTTGCTCTGCACTCCGCGGTTCAGCGTGCACGGAATGAGGATGTACTCGCCCTCCTGCAGGGTGAAGTCCTCCGAAGCTGCAGAGCGAGAAGAAGGGGTCAGACTGGAAGTGGATCCAAGACATCAATCGCGCTGAGGTGACGTACTCTCTCTGCCCTTGCGGAACACCGTGCCAGCGAGCATGTCCTCCCGCTTGATCACCAGCAAGCGTTGCTTGCCTGCAGGCAGTACGTTCACATGACGCGGTGTCAGAGAACCGATGGACAAAATGTAGAGGGGCATGTGCAAGTGAGTATTACCCTCGGTCTTGAGCAGATAGAACCCGATGGGCGGGTAGGCTCCGATGCGGGATTGGCTGGCTTTGCTGCGGATGGAGGGCTGCGAGACCAACACGGCCAAGTCGCACCCTCCCGCGGGCACCCTGCGTTGGCACCGACGAGCGAGCGTGAGCCACCACACTTCCCGTGCTTGGGGGGGGCAAGTTGAGACCCAACCTGATGTAGTACTGCGGGTTGCCTCGCCACGCTGCCGTGTCTGCGCTGCCGCCGGCAGTCGGCCCCTTCCATTCGCCCTGGTCGTGTTGAGCGAAAGCAAAGGGGGCTGGTGGTCAGTGACGCAGTAGCGGCCGCGGCGGAAGCGGTATGAGGGGGGGAGGCGATGGTACGGTGGCGGTGTGGTGGTGCCAGTCGCTGGGTATCTGCGAGCACAGATAGATGCAGGTGAAGTACTTGACAAAGTCCTCAAAGCACATCCAAAAGACGCCGTCGTCAGCATCCACGATGTCGAGCCGTTTCTGGTATTGCCCACGCAGGGGAGGGTGCGTGAGTGGAAGATTTGGAAGAAGGGCTGGCGACGGCGCTTGGATCTAAGCGGGGGTACCTTGATCTGCTGTGTCCACAGGGGCGACTTGTCGGACCAATCGCCGTCCCATTCTTCTCGCCCCACGGGTTCCTAGAAGCAGGCGTGACGTCAGCACTGGGAGAGGGGGTGCAGGGGAGTGAAGAGAAAGAGAGACAGTCCAGCACCTGATCTTGAGCATCTTGACGCCGTCGACGGTCTGCACATCTATCAAACCGTACGCGTGGTTCTATGCGTGCGTGCGCGTGATAAACGGTGAGTCTCTATGACCACGATGCCGAAGAATAAGAGGACGCGGGGCGTACGCAGAGGATGCCCCTGACTTCCGTGTTTTTGGAGTCAGCTCGCGAGCAGCCGATGAGGTGGTGCAGCGAGAAGTACTTGACCAAACGCTCCCACATCTTCCCGTTCTTGATGTCACGCTGCGCCTCGTCCGAAGTCAGCACACTACGTGTCGACAGGTTGCACAAACAAAAGTAGGATGGTCAGTGCTGTCTTGTGTTGCCCTGTGCTGCGCGTCGTTCATGTGTGCGGCAGTAGTGAAGTACGACGTGAGGCGTACATCTCGTGCGGAGGACAGCCCGTGAGGTCGTGGAAGGCGTCGCCCTCGCTGCCCGACTCGAGGGCCTCGTACGAACGGTGTACTTTGGCATAGGCCTTCTCCAGAATCATCACCCAGAACTCATTGGCTACGGCCAAACCGAGTCACATCAGCCGACGATAACTTGATTCAAAAAAACCACGGCACAAAGCTGCGCGACCGAGGGAAAGACATACGATCTCGGCTGTGTGCGTAGATCGGCTTGCCCTCCGGTGTGCAAGGAATCCAATCGTCAACGACGACTGGCGTCCACTCGCTGCCCATCCAGAATTGGACTGAGTACCTGCATTCGAATCAGGGTTGGTGGTGAGCGAATGCTGTGTATTGCGGGGCGGTCCCTCCCGCTCCCAGAGAGTGAATCAGGGAGAATGTAGTATTGGGTGTACGTACACTCCCCAACGGCTGTACTCGGATGTGTTGAACAGGTTCATCAGCAAGTTGGGATAGAGGGCGATCACTGCGGAGTTGGGTGCGCGTGGTGCGTGTGTTAGCCAAATGGAGCTTGAGCGAGCGTACAGGGAAGAGGTGGGGGAATACCCGAGAGAGGACCCAGGAACCAGCAGTCTCCCAGGGTGCCTTGGAGGATGTCGTCCGGCTCAACGCCATCCACGAAGAGGGACGGCTTGGGGCAGATCTCCTCGATGCGCTTCCACACCACCTTTTCCCCTGTATATGCGATGGGGTGTGTGCGTGTGTGCGTATGTGTCAGGCATGCATAAGCGGACTGGGCAGTCAACTGTATCTGTGAGATGAGAACGTTGCGCACCCTTGTGCCTCTCTGGATTCTTCCAGATCGACGAGTCCTTGGGCTCGAAGTCGGGATCGGTCCACTTTTGCTTCACCCGACTGCACACCTCGACGATCCGCTTGTGCTCCTCCGGCAGCCCCTGCACTTCCTCGCTGGCGATCGGCATCCGGGCAAACGAGGACATCACCACGCTCTGCATGAGCTTGGACGACGCGTCCCGCACCTGTGTGGAAGTCGGGCGTGAGTCGACCCACACCAGAGTGAGCAGGAAAAGAACGAAAAAGAAGGGGGGTTACGCCGTTCTCCTGGTATCCCTTGGCGAATTGGACGCCCTTGGACGGCGTGGCGAACTTCCTGGGGCTGACCGCGGACGCCCGGGGCTTGGCCGGCTCCAAGGCCTGAGCCTCGGCCGGGGCCTTGCGCACAGGGACCGGTGTGTCTTTCCGGTCCGCGGTCGCGCGGCCCTGCACTGCCATGAGCGGCTTCGGGGCCGGTGGCTGGTCATCGGCGGACCTGTTGTGGGAGAGTTCGGGGCGAGAGCGCGTTGGCGGAGGTGCAGGCTTGGCGCTCCCGGCCTCGGGGCGCGCTGGTGGCGTAGCATCGGACGTTTTGCGCGCCGGCACTGCTGGCGTGGCTTCTGCGGCGGGCAGCCCCGCCGCGCTATCTCCGTCGTCTTCCTCGGCGATAGCAGCAGCGATGGCAGCGGCTCGCCTGGCTTTCTCGGTCTCTCTGGCCCGGGCGGTCTCCTCGGCTTGCCTACGGCGCTCGGCATCCCTCTGCTCGCGCTTGAGTTGCGTCAGGCGCTCGGCCTCGCGCTTCATAGCTCCTCCTTGCGTTGCATCCTCTCGCGCAGCGCGCGCTCGCGCTCCAGCTTGGCGGCGCGCTCCTTCTCAGCGAGGAGGTCCTCGCGGCTCTTCATACGCTCGAGCCCCTTTGAATCCGGCGCCGGCGCCCCCAGGAGGCCTCCTGAGAGCGGCTGCTTCTCCTCCGCTGCAGCGGCGGTCTGTCCGGTTGGCGCTTGGGCCGCAGCTGGTCTGCTGATTGCTTGGCGGTTGAAGCCCTGGATGGTCGACTTGAGCTTCTTGCCCTCGCCTTTCTCGACGGCACTCACCTTCTCGGTCGCCTGGGGCGGAGGAGCCACGTGGACCTGAAAGCGTTGGACATGAGGAAAATGTTAGAGCAAATAAATAAGTAAATGGAGAGCGTCCACAAGTGGTCGACGAAGGCTTTGGGGTGGGGGGGGGCATACGTCTACACTCTCGCCAGTCACGAGGAAGCTGGCCTGTTGAGCCTGGCCACCGCTCAGGAGACCCATTAGACCGCTTGCGGCCAGCTGCTGCTCCCACGAGACTGCAGCGGCAGCTGTGGGAGAGAGAATTGGGGGACGTGTACTCAGCCGAGAATGAAGAGCAAGGATGGGTTGCTGGTGGCGGCGGTACCTGCAGGCGCGGTCTGCTTCTCCTTCTCCTTCTCCTTCTTCCTACCGAACATCCTTCTCCTCTCTTTTTCGTTGGGCAGGCGTCACCCCTCCTGGTCCTCCTTGTTGTGTCGGTCCAGGGCCTTGAGGGGTTTCTTTCCATTTCCTCAAGGCCACAAAAGGAAAGGCGATCGGCTTTAGGACAAGTCGTCTGCCACGCGCAAGCTTGAAAAATCAAAATTAATCACAAAAATATATTTAGTGAGCTCGAACAACAAGGGAGGTGGGGGGGGCGACTTAGAGGTATTTGTTGACGAGCTCGATGGCCACGAATGCGGCGCCGTTGGTGGGGAACGACCGGAGCATGCACGGCGTGAAACCGCGCCAGAATCCGATCCACCTGCCGAGAAGACAGTCAAGACATGATGCGATCGCCTGAGAAACGGAGAGGGGAAAGGTACCCTTCGCTCTGGTAGATCTTGGTAACGCACTCCCTGACTGACTTGTAGGGCCTGTCTGGGCCGTCTGGCTGCGTGGCCATCCGGTTCTTGATCACTGCAGCGCGAGGGTCGTTGGTTATGCCCAGCCGAATGAATCTCAACCCAGCCCGGCGATTGAATGGGAGGATGCACAGTACCATCGAACGGATATGAAAGAGACCACAAAGCGGTGGCCGCGATGCCGCCGCAGAGGAAGTTCATGATTATGGGTGTCATCCAGTTGGCCCTCTTTTGGAACTCTCGCTGTATGTGCCCAGATTGTTTAGAGACACGAAAGGCGCCGAGGTTGCGGTGGTCGGGTGGTACCTTGGTATACTCATAGGAGGCAAAATAAACGCCGCAGAAGGTACGGAAGTAGACGGTGCCCCAGAAACCCTTGTACAAACCGAGAACGCCGCCCTCCTTGACCACTTTCCTGTAAAATTGAACACAAGTTAACACTTTCTTGGGCCTGTTCCATACATAGAAGACCGTGCACACCGGGGGGGGGGTGAGCCAGTACCTGATGCAGTCGATGGGGCCTTTGTACTTCTGGGTGGTAGGGTCGGCGTACTGAACCTGGAGCCGCGCTTTGACCTGCTCGATCGGTGTGACTGGCAGAGAGGGGCGGGTTGAATGATTGAGATCAAGGCCAACACAATCAGGGCGCAAGCAGGAAGAAGAGGTACCAATTGCTACCGATGTCCAACCACCAACCATGCCAGCGAGGGCAATCTCAGGGATGCTGAGCTGCCTGCCAGCGCCTTCGCCGAGCCACCGTCTGGTGTTCAGGTAGGCACCCACCATCACCTGCATTGCAGTGAACCACAAGAACGGTGAGGCCAATGGCGACGACAAAAAGGGTCAGGGCGTCGAGCGAGGCGGTACCGTGTCGATCAAGCTCCAGCCGAACAGCGGCAGGGCCGCACCCTTGTAGAGGGCACGCAGGCCCTCCGTCCGCACGGTGGTTGTGAGGCAGTGCAGGGGTCCTCGGAAGCGCCCGTAGCCGCCCTCTGTCTGCAGCCTCACCTGTCACACAGAAGAGAATAACGGGTGAGTGGTCCTGTCGGCCCCAGGTCCGGTCGAGGAAACCGGAAGGGAAAGAAAAGAATGGGAGAATGACGGAAACGGCCGGAGAACGAAGCCGGGAGTGGTGTCGGATTGGGGGGGGGGAACAAAAGAATACCTTGAGCGTGTCGAAGGGGTGACCGACCACCAGCTGCGAAACATGCGTGCGATGCAGGGTTAGGGTAAAAGGTTTGTATTTTTTTATTTATTTTGTTATTTAAAGTTGCATGTTTCACAAATCATACCTTCGCAACTCCCGAAGCAGTGCCGGCGAGGAAGCCCTTGAAGTCAACCCCCTCCTTCTTCTCTGCTGCCGCGCTCATCTCGTTTACTCTTCGCTCCGTTGCGCGACCGGAGGGAAAGGCAAGTATTGCTCGACCGTTACGAACTCCATTTTTCTCTGCCTTTCTCTACATTCTTTTCTCTGCTGCCCTCGTTCAAGCCAGAGAAGTTGGGTGGTTGTGGTAGTTCTGGCTCGTTGGCGACAGACGCACCGTTTCTCTTGTCACCTTTTGCGAACGACAGCCACTTGCTGGTAGTCGCCCTCAACCACGTTCGCGCTCGTCCCTAAAAAGGGGTCGCGCACGCACACATAAGTACGACCTTGACCACCAGGAGAGCCTGGCTGTGCAGTTCGAACGTTCTTGGCTCTGGGCAACGGCTACTCGACCAAGATAGTTTTTTCGCCATTCATTCCAAATCAATCAATTGAATCAAGAAGAAACGCGGGAGCGAGTGGAAAAGGATGGAAGGAGGAGCAGGAGGAGCCAGCTCTGCCGCGGGTGGTGGCCAGGGGGTACCCGCTCTGCCCAACATTACCTTTAGTTTCGGTACGTACCTGATCTTCCCGTCTCTCCTCATCATTGGCCCCCTTTCAGTAATTTCCACATGAACTCCCTCAATCTCCCCAATAACTACGGAATCGATTTGAACCCTAATCATAAAATGTACATTCGCTTAATCGACAGATGGCGAAGATTCTGGCAACCGGACCCCCACGAGCGAG